AAACAGGATGATAACAGGAAGGTTGTTATCGTTCAATATTTATTCACAAAAAGAATGGTCTGTAGTTGCCTTTCCTCTTCATGGATACATACTCATAACTGTCAATCATCCAGGATTTTGTGGAATTTGCTCTGCCCCACAGAAGTTCCTGTTGGTGGTAAATCTGCTTTTACAATATGACTGTTTCTGTGGATTCAAAAGATTATCTACAACCTACAGTATATTTATTTAACAGAACTAATACATATGATAATGGCTGTTTAGGTCACCATAGATACAAAGTTTCAAGTGTGTGATTGTCATTGTCTTTTTTTCTGTTGTGTTCATCTGTTAACAATTGTCATTTTTGACTTCTTTTCAAAAACCTTAGATTCAATTAATTTTAATGGCATTCTAATAAACCTTTCATTTAATACCTTGCGAAATCTTAAATTTCATGTCTTTGATGAGAAAATAAAATGAAATTATGTTTTGTTAAAAAAGATTCATAACAACAAATCTCCACATAGTCCTGACAAACCCATGTGGTAGATGCAACCAAAAAGCTAAAAACCACAAAAATATAGTGGTAGCCTGGAAGAGGTCATATTAAGTAGAACTTAAAAGTTCTTCTTCATTTCCATTAGCGATGGAATCAAATGCTCATCATTTGTCAATTATTGTCTTTGTTATCTTCCAGTCTCTTTCTGATAGATATTAATGTTGTATGTGTGAAAAAGCTGGTTACAAAATATTTATAACTTAAGACTATCAAAATCAATTGGATGGCAATACATAACATGTGCTGAAGCTCTCAACAACCAGTATAAGTGATGGCATTGTTCATTGTACAAATCCTCATAAAACTGTTGAATTATTTTAAAACAATAATCGCTTGTATTTTTACATTACACTTTGAAACTCAATTATATTTGGCCTTTGCATTTTTGTGTTGATGTAAGAAAATAAAGTTTGGCAAAACTGGAGGTGCAAGAATTTAAAAAGCGGGTGATAAGCCCTATATAATATTACAGGTATTTGTATTACCTTTTTTAGATGATCTGAGACAAAGTCTTTTGGTGATCTAATGTGATTGCATTACATAACATAGTAGAATGAATTGAGTCATGGATGGAAGGGTCTTAAACTAATTTACCAAAATTGTGGATTTCATGATCCGAGGGTCCAAGGTCACACTTCCCCTTGGGGAGAGGGTAAAGTTTACTACCGTTTATTTAGGAAAATTACATTTTTGAGTATAATTTGTTCAATATTCAATGAAAATATTCTAAACTTTTTTTTGAAATATAAACATAAGGTTGATAGCTTTATGGTAGGCACACATTGATCCCGGATGACCTGGAGGTGCTGATGGATGGGACGAAAAAGGGGGTCAAATTGACTTATATCTCAAAAATCTTCTCATCATTCAAATATTGTGGAAACAAATGTTTGTGAGTTGTGAATATTATTACCCCAGGGTCTCACACTTCCTCCTGGAAATTTCTGTTTTGTGACACTTGAATGCTAGTACTTAAAATGTATTCTTACCGTCTTCATAATCAATATTGAGTATCTCAGGTTGACCGTCATGGCCACTATGCCTCTTGTTTTCATAAAACATTTCTCATTTCTATATTTCACACCATGGCTACATTTAAAAAATGTCCTGCAGTTTTCTGGGTCTGGTGAAGACATATTGGCTGCTCTGATGTTCTATTTATAGCAATGTATATTCCAGTTATGCAATTTGTACCTGTGGTTGTTTTCAGAACAAAAATCTTCGTCTGCTTGTGTTATGAATAATTCAACACTCATTAATGTTATGATATTGATAAACAGGGGAGACACATTGACATGTATAGCGTTAGCAGACAACGCCAGGCGTTGAAAACAAATAATTACAGATTCGTATTTATAGAGTATTCAGGTTACTGACATACTACGATAAAATCTAAAATAATTATCACAAATAACAACAGATGGAAGAGATATGGAAATGTCATGATGTCATTGTAATTAACAAGAAACAAACACATATTGTAAATAATGATTTCTCGTCCTTAAAAGGATTTCTTTTGTATTAATAGGAATCAATATAAAAGCGTGGTTTTTGTTGTTATAGGGTATCAATCAATGTCGTAAATTACTTACAAGTGTCCAGACAACAATGATCAAGACTGGTAATTGTAAGAAAATTATTGCAACGAAACACTATTTCTCATTCCATAGCATGCATTTAATCAATAACTCATGTACGTTGTATCAGTATCAGGGGGGATAACTTGTACTAGCCTGCACCAATGATACATATTTCACCTGGCTGAAAATAAAAATTATTTAAAATTTACTGATAGCTTTCTTTCTACATCAATGTCTTCAGCTGACTGTTTTAATATATATATATATATATATGTGGACAGGGAGATTCAGTAAGAAAGACAAATTCTGTAATCCCTATCTTTGTGAACGTTGTCATGTACCACGGAATACATGTATATTGGGTATAAGAATAATTTCATTGTCTTGATCTACTAGTGATCATTCTGTTTCTGGGTGGTTGGATGGTGCGATGGTAACGCCTTTCAGCTGACGGTCCGGGGTTCGATTCCTGGAGTAGAAGTGAAAGGGTAGCTCATCAGCTGTCTGAACATTGTAGTTTTCTCCCAGGTACTCCAGTTTCCCTCCACAGTAACACTCCTTACATCTAGGCCAACAAAAGCAATAAATGTATGTTGATATAACTTATTTCCCAATTGTTGTAAGATAAAGTTTATTTTCATATATTATGATCAATACAAATTAATATAGAAGTAGAGGGAAAGTATAACAGCCAGACTAGTCCTGCCATTCAGTCCCATAAACTTTGGGCTACAGGCCAGATAACATAACTGTGTTACATTGATCCTAATTAAGTGATTCACTGCAAATGCATACTACATTTCTTACTCTTTCTGTTTTTATCATAAAAAGAAACAAAACAAACAGTGTCATCAACGTACCTGATTTTGTCAGGTCAACCTGTTGTTGGCTATATCATGACTTTGTCAAATCATTAAAAATGCTAACTATTCAATTTTTGGATATAACATATCTGGTTGTTAAAATAACTTTCAGTCACAACATAGAGCATCATATAAATACATACAGATGTGATAGAATTGATTATAAGTTTTTACCTTAAGACCTTTTAGAATACCTTTTCACCCTAGATTTCGTAGTCCATGACTAGGTATTATTTGGCGAGACGTTGGCAGCACTGGATAAGTTTTCACCTTCCACAGGTATATTCTGTTGGATATTAAATGGAATCAAAAAGGTAAAAAGAGTGATAGCCAGGCTGTGCTTAAACCTGAACAGTCTTGGAAATTAAGACAGTGAAAAAGATTTAAAATCTTGTAAACTTGTGAAAATTTTAACTTGCAAATCAAACATAGCACTACATATTAATTGCTATTAGTTACACCATAACAACTCATTAAGGAATTTGGTTACAGAGGAAGCTTTGCTTTCAAGTTCCTATACTACATTTGCGTGAATTTTGAAATTTGTCTTTATTTTCTATGCTGTAAAATTATATATTTTTGGGGTTCTTAATTTTTGTGGTTTTTTGAACATAAAACATCATTTCATGGAAATTTGATTATGTGAATAAATATAGCTCTGTAAAATATTTGTATTAATTATGACCGTTGGTAGACATAAGAAGACTTATATTTAGAGTACTCACAAAATGAATGAAAATAAATCCCCAACAAAAATAATTTCTTTTACAATAATACTTCATATTTTTAGAGACAGGATGATAAAATGAACAACATATCAGGATGAAAGTGTATTATCTACAACAGGTACATGGTAATTAATATTTTTTTGAAAGTGATTGGTCATGTTTTAAATTAATGGCAAATCATTAAAAATAAAAAAATCCAGATTTGCATTGGAAATTCATATTGTCACTGTGATATATAAACAGGGAAATTTTTGTTTAATAGTCTAGTTTAATTACCCATAAACTAGCCAATGTCGATATTGTTGATGTTATTGCCATAGCATCACATGTCAGGGGAGCTAACTCTAATGAAAAGTTGACATGTAGGAAGATATATATCTAATGTTATTTATTTCAATGTGTTTGATGGCTACCTCATTGAACATCATACAGGAGGCACATCACATGCTATCCACAGTAATTTGGTTTAAATGTGTTGCCCAAGGGCATTACCATGTCAGCATATACCAGGCTTTTTTCTCAGCTTCCTGAGAAACACAAACCGCCACGGGTAGGGATCTTCACCTGAAGTTATGTAGGCCAAGACTCTCACCGACTGTGCTATTGTGGCCCCTTTAAAAGTGATTTTCATCCTAAAACAATACACATGTGGAAATAAAAGTGAAAGTTTTAACCATGAAATAAAAATGTGTTATTATAAATATCACACCTAATGGCATTGTTCATACACATGTCCATAACCCAAAACAGATAGGGAATGTACAGTAGGTTGTTATAGTAAATTTCATTGCATAACTTGTAGAATCTTAAATATACATTCATATGTGTATTAAATAAACAAAAGCCCAGGTGGAAGAAAAAAAACGTGTTTACATGTCAATTTATGTAAAATACAATTTTATTTTATCTACTCTCAAGAAAAGAAGTTTTAATCCTAAGTAATTTAATATCTATGGATAAAATGGGGATGTAGAAAATATTTTCAGTCAAAGGCAGCCAAGAAGTATAAGTTGTCAGTGGCCAGATTTTATTTTTTTAAGAATTGTAAGATAGTTTATTCACGTTTTCCCTGAAGGTGCTGTCCTGGCCGGAATCCAATGGTTCTGCAAGTCATGCAAACAATACATTTATGCCCAAGCACATTGTAAGCTTGGACCCAAATCTGTTGTTATAGATGTATGTATTATGTATGTTTAGGAAATATGATTTACTTTATATTGCAGTGTACTTCACCATGAGATGACATAGCTTGTGACTGTAGTACATTAAGGTACACTTACATTCCAACATGGAGGCTGGGGCCAATGCTGGGGGGTCCTCAGGTAAAGCCCAGTCATCGCCAGCGTCAGCTGCAGCTTCGGCGGCCAAGTCACTGCTTTATCATGACTACGCCAACGATTCGAAGCTGTCCATTTCTCTGAGGCGTTATAAACTGAAGGATCAAGTGGTATGTCCTAACTGTGGTCAGTTCCATGAGCCTCAGGGAACTCATCTGTACGACTACCACCAGGCGGTAGATGAGGACCTCATGTGTCAGATCTGCCTCCAGCCACTGGTCAACCCACTGGACACTCGCTGTGGCCACACTTTCTGTTCACGATGCCTTCACAACTACCTCAAGATCCAAAGCCAGTGTCCTGTGGACCGACAGCGCCTTGAGGACTCGGACATACAGCAATCCAGCATACTAGTCAGGAGGTAAGTCTTACATTAGACTGTTGTCTGCAGGACTGGTCATTTTTGTTCATTCCTCAAATTCCCAGAAAAGTCGGTACGATACGAATCGTTAATTTTTGTGGGGATTTTATTTTCATTCATTTCTAATGTACAATCATAAGTCTATGGGCTGCTAAAATAAGTATAAGCAGATCAATTGTTTATCCACGAACTCAAAAGCCTAGAAAACAGTATTTTTTCAAAAAACCATGAAAACTGAGCACCACGAAACTACCTGATTTGACAGTAAGTGAAGTGTTATTACAGATGTTACTCCTATTTGCTTATGGTAAGTGGTTGTCCGTACAGTGTACAAATCAGTTGTCACATGACTATTTTCTTTCTTTGTATTTTGATAATATTTTGTCATGCAATATGGTGTGTTCGCCCCATAAAAAACTTTCTGTCATTCATAACCACCAAAAAATGTCATTGCAACACAGTTCAGTTCTGATGTTTACATTCCTAACCAGTTTTACCGTCTTATGCCAATACATTTTATTTAAACTAAAATAAACTTTCATCATCTACTTTGTAACCCATCATGTAGAACAACCATTTTGACAGCGAGTTGTTCACCATTTTCATTGCTAGATGTCATTTCCTGTGTCATAAGTCACACTTCTTTCTGGTTAAGCATCAAGTGTTTTTTTTTGACTAGACAAACTTTCATTATGTCTGGAGCCAGGATAAGATTAAAAAACTTGTAAACTTGTATGATTTTAACAAACCTGGTACTTTTGCATACTGGTAATTATAACAGACCTAGAACTATAGTACAATTAAGTAGACCAACACTTATGTAAAATTTTAAAGACCCAATTTTTTTTGTACTACACCTTGTCATTAGAATAATGAAAATTTAAAGTCAAAGGTGAATTTTTTACTCTTGCACTTTGCAAATTTTATTTTAGTTTAAGGCATTTACAAACTTTTCCATTGACATCAGTATCAATAGATGGCCAAGTGTCATCCAGCCATCCTTGTGAGGGTTTTTTACACATGCAACTCAACAAAATCATTGATAAGATTTCTGAAGCAGGAAACATCAGATCGTACCTGAAAACTCTACATTGTCATTTTATGTCATAAACTTAAAAATCAAATCCAAGGTTACCCTTGAAATATTTCTCTGATTAGCCTTAATAATGGTCTCTAAAAAGTATGGCATGTACATGATATACATAAGTACAGGATTCTTGTTTGTAAGGAAAAGTGTTATGTATTATACAGCTAATCAGTATGTTGTGCTTTGTAAGGCTTTAAGGAACTGAAATAAATACTTGGTGCATATAAAGGGAAATAACCCTGTTTGTCCTGGAAAACACACTGGCACAAGTCCACAAATGCATTTGGTTGTCCATCTTCTCGACTCAATTGTAATCTTTACATTTTTTTTATCTGGCTGAATTGATTTTAATTGAATGGAATGGATTTTATCTCTCGCCATGCATGACTGACACTTTCTGTTATGATCATCAAGAACAGTAAATTAAATTTGATGAATTTCCAAAGTCACTAACATTTTGTTGTTTTATCTTCTTTCCTTTATCATTGTTTCGGTGTTTTTTTTTATTTTGGTCGACAGCCTTTGATTTCTTTTCCAGAAAGGAAACAAATTTTGTGATAAAACATATATGAGTATTGATTTAGATTTGAATTAGAACATTTCCAGACAATTTTTGAAAATTGGTTTCTGACTTTGACATTCAATTTTCAACATCCTAATGAGTTTATTTTCTTTAAATTGTGGGTCTAATTTCATTCAGAACAATAAGATGTAGTAAGAATGATATAAAAGTCTATTACAGTATTTGGGTTTGGAAGCCATTGTCTCACACCAGAAATAAAATTTTCATTTTCGCCCACACAATGAATGGCATGCGTTTAATATTTGTGGTTGCTACGTAAACAGGAGCTGATTGTTTTTTGGATCATTATACCTGAATGACTTGACCATGTTAAGTCCCAGACTAATTGTCTTCTTTATAAGATATTTCTAATAAATATCCTATTTTTGAAATGTGCTTTTTAACTCCAGTGTTAGATAAGTTACGTTGCCAGTAATTCATTTTTTTCTAAAGTCTAAAGGTGATTTCTGTATACTTAAATTGTTGGAATCAATTTTTCCTCTACTAAACACACACGTTATCTCTAAATTTATATTCACCGCTATTGTCTCCCATATTAAGCGTCTGTTATTCATAAAAGAACTTATATTTATGTCTTGCAGTTATTTTAGGTCACTGGAGACAAAGTCTTATGGTGACCTATTACAATACCTTTTTGTTTGGTTTCCTCCGTTGTACGTCCATTAACTTTTTGTCATTTAGAATTGTGAGTATAAAATGACAGTTCAATGTTATACACGTATTGGGCCTGACTGATCCCCAAGGACTTATGGGTATAGTCAAAAAGGGTCACATTGACTTAAATTTCAAAAATATTCTCTATAGGCAAATATGGTTGAATCAACTACTTTTTAAGTATGAAAGAGTTGAAATTGCTTTACTAAAATGATAAATTATGTGACCCCAGGTTCTCACATTTCCAATTTTAATTTGGTGTGATCATTGGTGTTTCGCGTATTGTGTTTTACAGTAAAAAGACGACATCTACTGATAATAGAAGTTTACTTCACAATATGCTCAATAAAGTTGTGGACACTAGAGGATATAATGTTCAAACGATTATAATACAACAATGTGCGAATATCCAATTTGAAATGTGACAAAATGACAGAGCGAGTTATAACGATCTTAATATATTTGATATGTGGTTGACAGCTAGTGACATTTTACCAAGTAAAAAATACTTCTGAGTTGCTATCACATTTCATTCCGTCAAAAATCATTCATTTCTTACAGGAAGTGAAAATGTACATGAAAGTTTATTTTTTTACCTGTAATTCATCACGAAACTCTTGTGAGCATAGGTTTTTTTTAGTGACAGAATGAACGAAAATTTTATGGATTTAAAAAAAAAATTGGTTTTCTTTTGCATAGCATTCTATGCCACAAGTTATTGACAAAAGATTGCATCCCACAAATCTATGTTTCATATAACTAAAAACGTAAGAAGACGTTAATTGTATCATCACCAAAGTATAACTCCTAAATATGTAAGAAGTTTCAGTTTGAACTGTGTCGGTGTCCTGATGATATTTATTTTTGTTTCTTGATACTTAAATGTGTCCTCAGACTCGAATTTGGTTGTCACAAAATGCTTAATAAAGACTTGCACAGGGACATTGGAGAATGTGAGATTTCACTTGGTGTTATCAAAATATAACAATCTGTGCACAGTTACACACAGTTTGATATGCGAGAAAATGACAATTTTATAATGATTTTAGTATTGATTACAGGCAGTATTCTGGTAAATTACAAATGACATGTTCATGAAGATCAGGTCACTGACGATGATGAATACTTGTAAATTGTATGTCCAAGCACTTTTCTCATCTTCATTGTTGATATTAATGTTTGAAGTCCACAAACTTTGAACACAGCCGTTCTGTAAAACATCCTCAAGTCGGTGGCAATTGCGGAAAAAGAAGTGGAAAATGCACAGTAATATAACAATGAAAGTTTGTGTACAATGACTTAGTCAAATAAATACTTTGTAATTCTTTCTCATGGTGAAATGGTTTTGTTGTGTTCATATATAGATATGTACATATATACCCAAAAAAACCTATACTTTAAACGTCACTTAACCATGCCAGGTTTAACTACATCAAATCTGGGTCCTTGTTAACAGAGCAAATTTCGACAAAGTGGGGTACAATACCAGTTCTTTGCATGTAATGGCATTAAGACCAAAATAAGTGAAAAAGGTTGTGTTTTTAGTTTCATGTTTCTCCATAAATCAAACCGCATTTATGTCCCAAATATTGAAAGTTTTAGTTCAAAGCACTAATCAGCCCATTAAATGCTGAAAAAAATTGTAATTTTATACACGTTTTCAATAGACGATGCTTAAATTCTGACCAGCTGAAAGCAAATAATGTGAAGTTATTTTTATTTTATTTCATCTCATTTATTTGCATTTAACAATTGAATATGTTCAGTAATTAATTATAATGAAAAGAGTATCTTCAAATAGGTCAGGGACTTTCAGAAGTTTTTTTTAATGTTTGATGTATACTTAACGTCCATATATGGTATGCATGTATATGGTATATGTATGTTGTGCTGTCTTTTGTGGTTCTGTAAAGTGTGTATTGAGATTTTGTAATCTATAATGACAGGTAAATTGTCACAGGAGTCAGATGAATATGACATACAAATGTACCTTCAATATTAATGAATGAACTTCGGATAATATGTAACGGAAAGCATGTACAAACCTTGAACAATTCTTTTTAAAGAATTTGTCTATAAGATTATTTCGTCAAGACGTTCTGTGTCATGGTAACAGCAGCATCAGAGTGTACATTATGTATATTTTCTTGGTAGTTTTTGTTACAGATATTAAACACTTTTGACCAAGAAATGTGACACCATCATTACAGACTTAAAATAAGAAATGTTTAAGTAAGAGACCAGTAACACAAGGAATGAAAAGTATTTGCTACGACAGTGTCCTTGTCAAGGTGATTGATATATGTCTCTTTTTTTTAAATCTCTGTTATTACCGAAACCCATCTACTGCAAAAAGTGTTTTTCGATCACCTTCCCCCACCCTCTTCCTATAGCTACTACTAAATGGCATGTTTATAAGCTTATCCCATTTACATTGTGTTAACATTGATAAATGTGGCACACTTAATCAAGTCATGATCAATCTCATTCAGGTCCTTCCGTTGGTCTCCATGTTTCCTGTATGAGCTTTTGAAAACAGACCGACATCATACATGTACATACGTTAAAATACCTCTCATTTTAGGAAAGAGAATTCTCGTAATTTGCTGATTTTTCAAAATGTCGCATTTTATTTAATTTTACTAGATAATTTACTTTAGATTATTGTAACTGTTA